AGTCTCAAAATCAAGGCCTTAAAAAGTATTAATATGATGTATCTGAAATTAAGACCTTAAAACAGGGGTGTCAAACTCATTTTGGTTTAGGGGCCGCATACAGCTTAATCTGATCTGCAGGGGGCCACACAAGTAAACTCATTGCAAGATTAAATGGAACCAATAAAAGTTTATATTAAACGAATTTCACTTTTACAAAATATATTATGAATAATGTCAGTTTTTAAGAAGGGTATCTGCAATTTCAACAATACTTTTACTCAGTTAAGCATTTATTTAAGTGCATTATGCATAAGAACTGATCTCAGTGATTGTACAATGTTGCAAAACATTTATTCACAGTTTTTGGAACTTAAAAACACTGTCCTGCATCACAAAATACAACAAAAATTAAGAAAAGTTTTAAAATCAATTTTCAACATCTGGGAAGCAATTTGAACAAATGGTCTGGCTTCACACATTTGAAATATTAAGTGTCAGCTGTTTTAAACAGACATTTGATTAAGTACATTTGTTGATGCATAAAATGTATACATATAGAAAAACTTGCAACATGTATGTATGTTACGAGAAATATGAGGTTGCCAGGGCCAAAATAAAAAGCTGGTAAAGCATAAAATTGAACTTGTTTACAGAACCTGAAGCTCAGTGCTGCCATCTGCTGTTAGTTCCGCTGCAGTGTTGCATCATGTTGTGTGCTCTGAATAAAACACAGCGCCCCTCGTGGACAGTATAGGAACTGCAGATTTTCAATTAAACGAAGTATATGTTTTTTCATGAATAATGATAATGCATTTAGCCCCCGGGCCGGACTAAATCGTTCGGCGGGCCGGTTCCGGCCCGCGGGCCGTACGTTTGACACCCCTGTCTTAGACCAATAAACAACTTTAACTATAAAAAAAAATTGCCAATGGAAATATAAGTATCTTTTATATTGGAAAGCGTGCACTCTCATTTTTTCATAAAGTCAAATTTTTTTCGTGTTCTGCTATCAGCTAGCTTCCATCCTTTTATATCAGCAATAAAAAAAATTATAAGTACATCCAATTTGTTGGAAAACAGTTTTTGGTGACTTTAATATTTGTCAGGGTACAGTGAACATGACAAAAGTTGGAAAAAAGATTGATTCTTTTGGCGATTAAAAACAACACAAAACTGTGTGAGAAGAAACTCACATAAGAACAGTTTTATTTATTTATTTTAGACTTTATATGTTGTTGTTTGTTTATGACAGCAACTGTCGATTAAACTGAAAGTTACAACCTGGACACGAACAGATTTTCACAGGAAAACAAAATTACGCACAAAAAAATTGGCTCCCGGAAAAGAGTCGGAATTCCCATCACCAATCCTTCTGAAAAGCGGAAGTGA